CGTCGTTGCACTTGCAGTACTAAAACAGTAAACTGTTATATATCTAATAAACTCAGAACACACTAAGCTGCACGACAAGTTTAATTTAAATTGTGAGGTAAGGATTGCATTTGCATTTAAAGTTTTCTTTTTCTTTTTCATTGCTCTAATATTTCACTGAAGAAACCTGCTATTATTTTCTAGAATTCAGATCTAATTGCTAACGAGAAACCAACGTGTGAAATGTAAACAGTTAGTATCTCATCATATTTTATAACGTTTGAACAGTTTATTAACCCAATGCGTGCGGTTCTCAAGCAAATGAATTTGACAACAACCTCATGCGTCTTTTTAGAAGTGTGTTTGGACATCCATCAAAATGTCGTACATGCTCCCTCATCTTCACAATGGCTGGCAAGTGGACCAGGCTATTTTATCAGAGGAAGACCGTGTAATTGTTATACGATTTGGCCACGATTGGGACCCTACGTGTATGAAGATGGATGAAGTGTTGTACAGCATCGCCGAAAAGGTATTACTGTACAGTGTCCTAGTGTTCAACCACCGAACTGAACGTGAACACCTCAGATCAGCTTGTATTTGGTGTATGAATATGTTTTGTGATCTGTCATTACACCAATGTTGTGGGAATAATTATGTATTTTGTTTGTTTTATGTGCCTAATATCACGTGTTCCCTCAGGTGAAGAATTTTGCAGTCATTTATCTTGTGGACATCACAGAAGTGCCAGATTTCAACAAGATGTATGAGTTGTATGATCCTTGCACAGTCATGTTCTTTTTCAGGTAAGTCCTCAAGCAGTATAATAACTACAGACAGTCAGTTTTTCCATTGTATTCAGCCAAGCCAGTCAGGATATCTTTTATTTAAAGGAGTACTCAACCCAAAAGTGAAAATTCTCCCATCATTTGCTCTCCCTCATGCCGTCCCAGATATACTGATTGACTGACTGGAAGACACACAGACTTTTGAGAAAAATAATCCACGTATTACTACGCATTTAAATGTTATTGCTTTAGTTGTTTATTTATTATTCTTAAACGATTGTTTCTGTTTCTAGATACGAGTTAAAGCAGCACTATGTAACTTTTGGCGCTCTAGCGGTAATAAACAGAACTGCACACATCCCGCGGAAGAACATTCCAACC